TGGCACGCATATTGGAGAGCAGGGATTCAGTCCATGGAGGGAGGGTAGAAATGAGATGCTAGTTACGCATCCCATGGGTAGTTCTTCAGGTATTCTTCATGGTGGACAGAACTTGCAAGGTCAGGGGTTGTCCCTCAGCCTCAGTACACAAATCCCATCAGGAATGCAAATGCCTTCTATCTCATACCGGAATACCAATATGGGTTTTGCTTCATTCTTAAGTCCTAATGCATCCGTTTCAAGTGAGGGTGACGGTAGGAATGGTTCTTTTAGAGATGAGCAGCCAAGAAATGTTGAATATTTGCAATCTGGTTTTCCGGGAGGCAATCCAGATTCAAGTAAAGGGGATTTGTCTCCATATGGGATGTCGAGTATGGCAAGAACCATTTCCCATAACAAATACCTCAAAGCAGCACAACAGCTGCTTGATGAAGTCGTCAATGTCCAGAAAGCACTGAAGCAGCATGATAGAGAGAAGAACCAAAGCACACATGATCATCAGAAGAGTTTCAAGGAAGGAGATGATGGATCAAAGAATGATCTTGAGAGTGGAGTATCTACAAACCCTCAAGAGTTGGCCAGTAACTCAACGTGTGAGCTTTCACATGCCGAGAAACAAGAGTTGCAAAGCAAGTTGACGAAGCTTCTGTCTATGCTAGATGAGGTATGAGCAATGCATATAGTTTAATGTCTCTTTATGAGTTAATTATAGGATCAATCTTGCTTGTCTGGTCAGTTTATCATAATTTTAAGAGCTTAAATCAATTTTAGTTGCAAATTTGATTGGCATTATCCTTTTGTCTTCGCTCTTTCTACTCTGTGATGATTGCTTTGATTGCTGTTTAGATGACTACATCACCTGTCTTTATCACTTCTTATGTGTGTGATGTGTTGCATGTTTAGGCAGGTGATATTATGTGGCATGTTTATTGTCAGTGATCGCCTGATCACTATGCTTTTATGTCGATGATATTGTTCTGTTCTCTTAGGCTCTTACTTACTGGTTTCACGATAATGACGGAAAGGATCAGTGATATATTTCTTTAATTTTGAAAAATAGGAAAGACAAAAGGATCAAGACATGCAGTAACAGTCTACTTAAGCAAAACCAAACAAAATGCATAATGGTTTCGTTTTTGAGCTTATGTCAATTGTTGATTGTTCCAACTGAAACTGATCAATTAATGATGTAGTCATACAGTGATGCATTGATAGATAAACCAACATCTGGTAACGATTCCATTACAGTTTTGTTCTTCGATTCAGACATATTTTAATGAAGAAAAAGTTTCAAGAATTTCCTAAAGTTTTGAGTATATCCTTTCATGTTTAAGTGATGTTTACACTGGTAATTGATTGATCCTCCATCTTTCCAGTTGAAGCACCTGGAGCCTTGCATTGTGTTTGACATGTGAAAAAGTTGGGGCTCTCAATTTTTCTCCCAACGGAATATCTCCAAGTGGAATATATTCCAACTATTCTTTAGGTTTCCTAGGTGTCTAATAAATTGAACGAGATGCTATGGAATGAAGCATAGCATCCTTATGTGCGATTTCTAAATAAGTTTAGGCTATTGATTTATCTCAAGCTTATCATTAAAAGGTGTTTTGGATATAGGTTTTGGCTGTTTAGTTGACACGTTGATAAGCATTTTATGAAACAATTACTCTACCATTGATTGAAGGTATTTGCATATACTAGTCATTCTGCTAAGAACATGGGGAGATGCGAAGTAAAATTGACCTCAATGAAATATTGGGGTAATTGTTCTCCTTATTTTCTTACCCCGTATGTTTACGGACTCTGACGGAACATCAAGGTGATCCTTCTATGTTGACAGTTGGCGCAAGTACCCTGTTCTGCTAAGAACCAGAAACAATATAAGATGTAGAATTGACCGAAGGTCCCATTGTTAATTGTTGATGTGGGTGGAGAAGGACAACGCCATTATTTGAGGCCAGAATTTCCGTGGTTCCTGAGTTGCTAATGATTATATTTCTGGTTTTCGTGTCTGTTAATTTAGGCAATTTACTTCAGGAGCAGCTAATGATTACGGAAAGTATTTCTACGATCATTGTTTCCTTGAGGATGTTGTAGAAATTTGTGGTTGTGGTTGGTTGTTTCTCGTAGGCCTTTGTCTGATATAATGGAGCTCCTATTTTTTCCCATGAGGTGTAATGGTGTTTATATCACAATCACAGGTTGACAGAAGGTACAAGCAGTATTATCATCAGATGCAGATTGTTGTATCGTCATTTGATGTGATAGCGGGAATTGGGTCAGCTAAACCGTACACAGCTGTTGCCCTGCAGACTATTTCACGTCACTTTCGGTGCTTACGTGATGCAATCACAGGACAGATACGAGCAACCCGTAAAAGCCTTGGGGAGCAAGGTGCCTCTGGAAGCATGAAAGGAGTTGGAATATCTCGCCTCCGTTATGTGGACCAGCATCTCAGGCAGCAGAGAGCCCTTCAGCAGCTTGGCATGATGCAACAACATGCATGGAGACCACAAAGAGGTTTGCCGGAAAGCTCTGTCTCAATTCTGCGAGCATGGCTGTTTGAGCATTTCCTTCATCCGTAAGTCCCGACTTCAACCCTTTTCTCAATTTCTTTTCTGAAAACTTTATTGATTATCAGTTCTTGATGTAATTGAATGTTAATATTGATAATTTTCAGCTATCCGAAGGATTCTGATAAGATCCTGCTAGCAAGGCAGACAGGCTTGACTAGAAGTCAGGTAATGACCAAGTAATCATGTTTTACGTAGCATTTTTCCTTAGGCACCACATACATACATAACAGAGAATAAGATCCTTTATCCTTATCGACTTCAACACGTATAACATTTTGATCCTCGCTAAATCTGCTGAATTAGGATATGGAATGTACAGCTTGAAAGAAATTGCAAACTACAAAGCAATGTGGGAAAAGGAATAACTGTTTCATTCTGCAGGTTCTTGCAGCTACAAGAATGCTGCATAAATAAACAAATCACATTCATAACAAAAATTGATTATTGAGTACAAATGTTTACATTTTTAATTTGAATTAACGAGCGCGCCTTTATTGCGGCACAGGTCTCAAACTGGTTTATCAATGCACGAGTGCGCCTTTGGAAGCCCATGGTTGAGGAGATGTACAAAGAAGAGGCTGGTGATGCTGAGATGGACTCCAACTCTTCATCTGAGAATACACCTCAAACAAAAAAAGGTGACAACACGGGGACCATGGAAGACGGAGTAGAAGATATGCAACCTAGCCCAAGTTCGACAGCCACTGAGAAATGCGGCACGGGACAATTTATGGACTCCAAATCTGACCATTTCCATGACGTGGAAATGGCTGGATCCACTGGATATGCCAATTTCCAGAATGTGACTCGTCATGAAGCTGAAGCTGAAGCTGAGTACGGGCTCGTCAAGCTTAGAGAGGGGCAAAGGCCCGGTATGGATGACTCGAGTCTCTTTTCTGATGCAAATGTTCAGACTGATAGGAACAGTGAGAGGTTTACGGCAGCTGCTGCTGCATACCACATGCCGGAGCTGGGGAGATTTGGAAGTGGAAGCGGGGTTTCTCTGACATTGGGATTGCAGCATTGTGACGGTGGCAGTAGCCTACCCATCTCTAGTGGGACTCATCACGGGTTTGTTTCCGTGAGAGGGGACGATTTGTACAACCCTGCAGCTTCTTCTGTAGGATCTGAGACAGCAGATTTTGAATGCCTTGACTCCGGGAACCAGCAGCAACACAGATTTAGTTCCTCCCATCTGTTACATGATTTCGTAGTGTGAAAGATGCTTCATTGCACATCCACGTTACTTGTATCCAAACTATTTTTGGGGCGGGGGAGAAAAAAACACACAGCGATAGGCTTTCGACTGCTCGACTTTGCGTTGCGTTGCGTTGCAAATGGTGAAAAGGAATATTGCATTCCGCCAGACATTGGAAACATACTACTAGCTAGTACAGTTGTAATATATGAAGAAATTGATTGAAGCTCAGCATATTTGTAAAGATGAGATAAATATTCTTTGTTTCGTAAGTTGGAAGGGGAAAATGTACAATCAGTGCCAAACTCTGTTGATGGTATTGAAGAAAATAGACTAGTTTGTAATAAAGCTTGCTGTTATTTCGATGTTGCCAAGTCAATTTCATCAGAGGCAAGAACAGGGGTTCGTTCCCTTCGGAACAAGGACTTGTGTTACTTGGGATATGTCGCCGTGAATCACACGAGAATATATCTCCGGTGACATGCAAGAATCCGCCCTTCTTTTGTCCCCGCATCTCGTGCCTGATATTGTTGTTCATATTCCCTTTTCTAATCATAGGTTGGCTAAACCCCTGAATTCTTGGAAAAAAAATCACTAGACCATCATCTAAGGCCCCCAACCTCGGATTAGATCACATAGATGGAGGAGGAACTGTTGTGAGAGAGATGGGAAAGAAGATGATCAGAGAGATAAGGGAGTTGAAAGGGAGAGATGGAGATGGAGAAAGAGATGGGCAAGTTGGAAACAAGAAAAATGTTTTTGGAGATAGAAAGGGTGATGAGGAAATGTGGGTTCCTCCTAGCTTAGCCTTTTATTGTTATGTTTTTTGATATGTGATTGACAAGTCGTCGATATTTCATTTCAGCAACCAAATATCAAAAATGAATCATTATAGCAATTAGGAACACAGAGATAAAAGTAGCCCACGTGCTACAAGAGCATCCAACCAAGCGGAAATTCTCTCCCGCACGTTTATTTGCTTTACTTACAGCCCACATAAGAATTCATCATGTGATGCATGCATCCAATACCATTGTTCTTCAGCCTCTATGGTCATCTGGCAACGGTCGCATTAGATATGTGGGTTTGCGGGTTGGTGGGTGAGAGGAAGCAATTCTAAGTGACACGAACCAAGTCATTGTTCGACAGTGACAAAGTTGTTGAGCGAAAGTAACATCTTTCCGGTTGATTGGCGCAACGTCTAACGATGATTAAGTACGAGCAACTAAAAATAAATAAAGCTTGTCTGGTTTTCTTGAACTCAAAGCAAGATGCCCAGAACTAGCATAACCATATATACTAACTGTAATTGCTCTATTTCCTTGAAGGTCAGTTAAATTAAAAGCAGAATGCTTAGCCCCCAAAATGAAGCAGCGGTACAAACCAGACTCGAACAAGAGAAATCACACCGAACATCATAGGTCATGTATCCTAGAAGACGAAAAGCACCCTCCTTCAAACAGCGTTGTCAAAATTTCCGTTCTTCACAACTTTTACATGTCAGAATCCATTGCCCGGTGGACATAGAGGGACTAGTCTGATTCTAGGAGCAGAAAACAGAAACTGCCTGTACTAACGAATAAACGCTAAGCAACCTGCCTGAAATTCTTCCAGAAATCAAAAATCTAATGTGAACAGACAAAGGACGGAATGTCAACCAAAGTATAGTGAGAAAATTTTCCCTACTCTGTACGTCAGTTGTCAGCCCAATGACGATGGCGGTACCTACCTGAAATTATAGTAATAAGTAGTTAGGATATACCAACAGAAACATTTAGGTGTTGGAACTCAATAATGACAATTAGATGTACAAGAGTACAAACCTTCTGTACAGAAGCTTCACATCCTCCCTCAACACTGGACTTTCGAGGAAGGGATCATCACTCTCATTCACATCAATGGTCTCCACTTCAAAATCCCGGAAACCACAATATTCATTCCATTCAAACCACATTTTTGCAATTGTTTCTTTTTGGAAGCAAGTGCTATGATCTTCCTCTTCAGGAGAATTAGCAGCTACCAATCTATACACGAAAACTTTCTTCTTCTGACCTGGTCTAAATGCACGACCGATGGCCTGCCTGCTCACTGAGGGGTTAAGATGTACATCCAGAAGTATTAGTCGAGAAGCCCCTACCAACGATATACCCTCCCCACAAGCCTTAATTGAGCCGAAGAAAACCTTGGCGGTGGGGGAATTGTTAAATCTATCCATAGACCATTCCCGTTGCTCAGAGCTTGACTCACCTGAGATCACAAACATTTCTCTCCCAGCGCTCCACCCCTTCATTCTGACTACTAATCTCTCCAAAAATTTCAGTGGTAGGAGGTACTGACTGAAAACTAAAAGTTTCTCACCCGCTGACTCACATAAGTTCAGTATATTAAGAAAGAATCTTGCCTTGACTCCATCTTTCACATCTATTTTGTCCAAGAGCTCATCCACTCTGTCATCTGGATCAGTAGGCTTCCAAGCCAAGTTGGACAGTTTTGGGTGAAGATAAACAGCGCTTCCAACAGCATTTTGCTTGAACTTTCTTGCAAACTTCTTTAACTTCTCAGTCTCGTGCTTCTGCTTGGGGGTGAGATTTAGTACCACAGTGAAATCAACTAGCCCAGGAAGTTCATCGAGGGTATCTCCTTTGTAATAATGAAGCACCTTGCTAGTCATCTCACGCAATTCGTGTATGACAGTGACTTTCCTTCGAAAATCATTATCCTTCTGTAGAGTATGCTCCACTAGTTCATAGAAGGCTGATTCACTGCCAGCTTTGAACTGCTTCCTTACACCTGGTATATGCACTCTACTCATGATCCGCTTGATGATGGGTCGGGATGTTTCTGCTCTTAAAAACTTAGGACGAACAAGATTCAAAAGGTTGAATACTTCGTTGACATGATTTTGGAAAATGGTTCCAGAAAGTACAACTTTCCTAGGTGTCTGCAGCTTTGCAAGGGATTGGAACACGTCAGTGTTATCATTTCTTGGAGTATGCCCTTCATCCAGAATAAGAATTGAAGGTGCCTTCAGCAATATTTCTTGGCACGCAGTTGATACCTTGCTAGTTTCTCGATCACAAACAATAGAGGAGAATTGCTTGTACCCTAAGAAAAGGATACTCTTGTGCTCCACCCATTGTTTCAACACCTCCAGCTGCTGTGATCGATTGTCTGCTTTATTTTCATAGAAATCAATTAATGGAATATCCTCCACTTGCCAAATTTTAAACTCCTTTTTCCACGTATCCAGGATTCCTTTAGGAAGAACAATCAGGGGTCTTGCATTTGGATACTTAGCTAGAAAACTTTGCATGAAACTTATTATCATAAATGTTTTACCAGAACCTGGAGCATGGGCCAAGATGCAACCACCAGGATTATCGCCAACCAAGTTGCTAACAAGAAAATTGAAACCCTCCACTTGATGAGGTTTCATTTGTTTCATATGTCTTGGGTGAGCAGATATCTCAGTTAGTATCAAACCATCCTCTGACAATTTAAATCCATCTATCTCGGCTGAATCTCTTTCTTTGCCATTCCGAGAATCAGGCATGTAAGTTCTTGTACTCCTTTTGACCTGAGGTAAATAGAAAAAAAATGATACTATGAAACTTGCTTCCAGAAGAGGGCATTTAGCTGTTGAGATATCAAATAACTTCCAGTGAGTTTACACAGATCCGTGATCCATTTATTGATGACTTTGATTCCACAGCAATGAGGCAAATACAAAAACTAGAATTCAAGGCAAAAATAAAAAGTTCAACCAGGCAGTAACACAAATATATCACTTCCAATATGTTATAAATTCATCAAACTTCTAACAATTTATTTATCTACCATTTTTGGGTTGCTATTCTCAGAATATTATCTCCTTGTCTGAAAAAACCCTGGTTATCTCATTTAAATTCAGCTGCTCCTGAGCCTGGTTAAGAGAGAGTGATGTGGTGGGTTCACAATCAACTATGAACATTGTCAAACACTATGAGTACGTCCTTCAGGGATACATGCTGGGTTTTTCTACCAGACAGACTTTATTGGACTTCATAATAAGCAGAGAGAAGTCAACCTTTGGTTTGCTTTCTTGTTGCAAAATGTTTAGGGAGTTGTCTAGTGCCAAAAATCATGGGGAGAATTAACAAAGAAAAAAGATAAGAAACCTATAGGGATACCCAGTTAACTAATTTTTTGACGTCTCCTTTGGAGATGCTCTAATGTGATTCAAATTCGCCTTCGGTGAGAATCAAACCTAAGACCTCTCACTTACAATTGAAGAGGAATACCACTTACACTGTAGTACTAAGTGGCTACCCAGTTAAAAATTGACATGGTGAGTTTACTATATTGGCTGGCTCATTGAGAATCTGGGATATCCAGTGCACCAATTGATAGATAGGGGTATCTACATGTTACATCGGATTAGGTTGGGGTATTTCTCATCTAATTCAACCCTGTCACGTTGATTTTTTCTTCATGCACAACTACCTAATATTGGTCCTAACCTCCTAGAACCAAAAGAATTGAATTGACTGAATGATCGGATTAGATTGATTGGGGCTAAAAACAAACACCAATTTTGTTCAGAAACTAGGAAAAATATTGGACAAACAATTATGAAACCCCAATCGAAGCACGATGGTCAGCCATTCCTGCTCAGTCCATCTTGTTTAGAAAACTTTATATATATGGTCTGGTTTGGGTTTTTTCAGGTTAAAATATACGAAAACAAAAAGATGCATATCAGGTTTAAAACAATGAAGCGGACCTGACCTATATAAACTAATGAAACCAACAAGAACTGATCAGATGAAACCAACCCTATTGATAGGTTCACTGCTAACAACAGGGACATTTTACGCATTCCCTAGCCCTGTTCACATTTTTTTATACAGGCAGATAGTCAACCAGAGAGATTGTTCATAAAGGACCAGAAGAGAAGTATTAACCTTCGTGTTTCCCAAGATGGATTAAAACTATCACAAACTCTTCAAACTCATGGTTGTAGACCACAGATTCACATGATCATGCTCCTACCATTCATAATGAATAACTAGAAAATAACCAATGTGTTGTATGAGTTAGATCAACATCTTAGTTCTTCAGGTTACCATGAACACCTCTTGTGGAATGTGGAAACAATAGATCTTCAACTCACAAAAAAAAAAAAGCAATCATTTCAGAATTTTATTACTAAAGTCTCCTATTCCACTCTAGATAACAGGAGCCGAATGCTTCCTTTTCCTATATGAATTGGTACATCAATCTAGCAACTTTTTGGTCGAGAAACTGAATTTCAAATTGAGCTAATACAAGGATGGTCAAATCAGCTGCTGAATCAGGTAGCCATAGGGACCTGCTCTATTAGGGGCGAGTTTGGGTAAGAACAATCAGGTTTGGGGCCGGCATGGAGATTTTTATTAAACCAGGATGAGGCAGGGCATGAATGGGTAATAACAATGGGAAACATGAAACCAAATTATTAATTTATTTAATTATTACTATTTTTTAAAGAAAGCATTCTGCTGCTGTGCCCTACGTTATTAAAAAACTTATACAAATAAAAAGAAAAGAGGGAAATGCCTTAGAATCAAGGTTCTAAAAGACGCTAGGTGCTAGTCGGGCAGCGAGCTAGGGCCTAGCGCCTAGGCGGCTAGGCGGACACACGGATTTAAGTAGGGAACTGTTATTAACACTCCAAAAATCTCAATCTACACTCCTCACAAGTGTAACTTTCTTTCTAATTATAGAAAGTTTGGAGTGCTAGATGAGATTTTTGGAGTGCCAATAACAATTCCCTTTAAGTAAATCTATTATATTTCGTGTAAATACGTGTCTACATATACTTTAAATATATATATAATTTCATCATAAACTACAAAATAGAATGACATATATATGTTATGAAGTGTTGGAACATAATGGACACAAGTGGAACAAGGATATAATGTGTGTTCATTTAAGTATGCAAAAAGTCTCTTACAATTTATTGAAGAAAAAAAATGCAAAATGAAAGTTAGCTATTTAATAGTTTAAGTGAGTCGCGACCTAGGCGGGTGCCTAGGCAGTCTAGGTGGGCACCTTAGCAGGTCTAGGAGCCATTTCTTAATTTTCAAATGCCTAGGCATTAATCGGGGTGGTGGTCAGCCGCCAAGTGCCTAGGCGGCACTAGGCGGAGATTTTTAGAACAGTGCTTAGAATGCCATGAACTTCATGTGTCTTCTTCTCTATTTCCAGCAACCAAAAGTGGATGCCAAAAGTTGAAAAAGACAAAAGAAAAGGGAGGGGCTGGTCATGCCTTCACAAAATAAGGGGATTGAGAACATGAGAGTAATAGATGACTTGATTTCGTCATTGCTCCATTCATTTCGAGGAGTCAAAGGAGAGTTCACAGAAAAAGAAAGCTTGAATTGATAAGGCAAAGATGGAAAACGAAAAACTTTATATATGCTTATACAGTAGATAATTAATATGATTGCATCTTTGGATTCAACTGACAAATTGGAGGACATGAAGTGCTTATAGATGCTTCCGTTCTTGCATGTACGTCTTCCCTTTTTATTTCATTTTGTGCAGAAAGGAATTTTGATAATACTTAGGCTTATGTATCAATGTGGAGGAATTATGGGTCAGGTTCTTCATTTATAGAAACCAGTGAACAAAAATGATTTATTAATGTGGAGGGATTATGGGTCAGGTTTGGGTAAATCCATAAGGGTAAAACCCATTGCAAGATAAACGGGTATGGATTTGTGGGTGCCCACAGCCCACCCACAGGTAATTTCGCCAATCCTACTTAAACTCATATAAAGGGCCAACCTATCCTACTTGTACGCTGCATAAGCGAATAACAGTTTCAGAAATCGTCATAAGAGAAAGCTGATTCAACGGCTGTTAAACTTTTGTTTTCCTGTTGGTTCTAGTGTTATCACTGATACCTAGAGAGAATTGGTACATGAGTCTATAAGCCCTGTTGAAGTCGGTCTTCCAAAACAATATAAAGAAATTCAAATTCTAACCGTGTGCTTACATTAAGACAAAAATTCAAATGTGCTTTCATATTTAATCTAATCAAGTTTAAAAAAGGAACTCTAACCATGCACATACCTTGTTATACTGAAACTCAAATATCGTCTCAATTGCTCTGTCAATAACCCCACAAATGCGGCAAACATATCCAATATCATCCTTCAAGACAAAAGAATGATCACAGTCACCTTCCTCTTCCCCGCCACTCATTCCTTCCACAGCAGCATCCTATCAGAAACAGCATATTGTCAACATAAGATAATAATGACAACTGTGAAACTGGAAAGTTATTGAAGATTTTTGGACAAAATATTCTTAACTCTGATGTTTATACTAGTAATTTGACATTTAGACACTTTCCCTGTGAAATTGAATAGGGACGACAAACTTGCAAAAACGTACTATTTACTGGGAGATATATTTTTTTCTATCCTGTTTACTCAATATTTAAGGGTTTTTTCCTCCCTAAACATTAATCTCTGTTCAGGTGAGCAATCTCTTTAAATGGGAAAAAAAAGTTGAGTTTTATTAAGCATCAGTGGCTCTATTTGTTCAGAAACAATTATTATATCAAAGATGGAAGTTGTTACTTTGAGCTCGAGCAAAGCAGAGAGAGCTGAGACAATCTGCACCAAACGTGTGACAAGCCAACATGTTTTTCCAATTTGGAACAACATAAAATACATGCACACATAGCAAAGAAACATGTTATTATAGTAAAGAATGTACATAAATGATACCTTGTTAGTTTCTAAACCCATTGACATTTCATTCCAAATATCTCCCAGACCATCATCTTCTTCAACATCTGTCTGGTAATCACCATCATCTTCTACACCAACATAAATTCCTGGGTGATTCTTGATTCCTGTTTCACTGGACAGACTTGGTTTTTCACCTGGAAGTCTGTTCTCCAAAAAGTCTCTTTCCTGAACATACGTTGACCAATCATTTGACAGATAGGATTAAATTGAGCAGGAAAGTAGAGATATTATATATAGGGCACACATACCACTGCTTTATTCATGGAATTCTGTTCTGACGATTGTCCCAAGAAAACCTCCTGGAAAGAATATGATGGCTGTGGCAAGACAACCTCTTTGAAAGGATAAGATCTCGGATCTTCACTTTGTTCCTCATCTGAATCAATGATTACCACAGGCCTCAGTGATGCTGGAGCATTATTTTCAACGCAGTCATCCTCCAGATCAATGACTTTATCACTAGCTAGTGGATTTTCAGATTTGGGAGCCTTTTTACTCTGCCTTTTGTCTTCCTCCAAGAATGCATTTGCCAGTGCAGGATACTTTGCAAAATAAGGGACCATAGTTTGGGTCTTTTTAGCAAGAACTGCCTCTATCTCCTTTGTAACACTTCCATATTCACCACAGTCTAACCTCTCCAGCAAGTTCCGTATGGCAAATGGATCAGTGTAGTCAACAACTTCTGAAGTAGACTTAGGTTTCTTCTCTACAACTTCATCATGCTTACTTACAGAGATGTCCAAGCCATCATAATTCTTTCCGTCCAAACAGAGTTTCATCCTCTTATGCCCCTTGGAATATAAACCTGAGCTCAAATGGAAGGTAACATACAAATAGATATAAAAATGAGGATCTTGCAAAAAATAAGAAGAAAAAGAAAGTAGGCAAATTACAGAAACTCATAAGTTCAGAAAACCATCTAGCCAAGTATATCAAATCAGCATCAGCACAGGAAAGAGGAGGAAGTTATATGTGAATTCCCTTTTGTATGAGTATAAGTGGAAGATATTGTGTGCTTTCTTAATAGAAATTGCATCCTAAAGCAATGCAAGATGCATGAACATAAAATATGAATTATATATTAATTTCAAAAGTTTACAATAAAAACCTTGTATATGTACTGTTTAACACTTCACAATGCAATGCATGCACGAAAATTCTAGGCAATCATATAAGTAGCACAACCACAAGGGTAATAGAGGTCCAAGTTAAAAGTATTACTCGTTATATTTTGAAGGTAGGACATAATAGCAGCACTGACAATGCTTAAGTAACAAAAGAAAATCAATCTGCTGAGATTCAGTTTCAGCTGGACTGATGGAGACAGCGAAAAGGCAGAGGACACATTGTTGGACCTAAGGTTCAATATTTTGGTCATGACAAGAACAATTTGATGAAGAAAAGAGTTGTGTAATATTAATTAACTACAAGTTGAAAAATATGTTGACTAATATTACACTTGTTCAGCATCAATCTATTTATGTTTCTTTGTTTGCCGAGTCAGATAGCTGATTTATAAGACAGTAAAAAACATACATTGAGCCTCAAAGCTAGAAAACTTCTGATGAAAATCCAGATTATATCCATACAGCCTAACTCTCATGGAACATGAAATATTCACAAATCACAAGACATTTTTTTAGGTTGGTGATGTCAACTATGAAGAACGGAATTCACAATGTTTGCCCAAAACCTTAACTATTAAATTACAAGACTGCATTAGTGGGGCTTTTCAGGGCATGCTACTACTTGTTCACAGTAGCAGACCCAACACCGTTTGGTAATTTGCAACAAACAACTTTGGCAAGAAGACCAAGTTCTCTTTTTTGGATAGCACAGAATCTGCACAAGGTGTTGCGCTTCAGAAGGCTGTGTGTCTTTCGTACCCCACTTCTTGTGCCCTCAACCCAAATAAAATAAAAACTTATTTCTCAGTTTCTCAACAATAGCTACACAATAGCCACAGACTACTGAATTAGCCCTAATACAAACAACAAACCACAGAACCCTAACAGCCCACAATACCCAAACAATCCCTAGAATTTTTCTTTGTAATCAAATTTCTAATCTTCAAGTCCCCATTTTAATGCATAAAAATTTCAATTTTTTTTCAACCAAAACGTTAATTTCACAAAATGTAATTCCACTCAATGGGTTTGTCACAAGCTCAACCTGCATTTCTCTCACATGCCGAAACAATCCAAACTTCCAGATAATACACACACACACACATGTATAGAAAGAGAGAGAGAGAGAGAGAAGCTTACTGTCATATGTAGTTTTAATGGGGGATACATCAATTGGTGACTCCATGGCTCAAACACTGAGAACACAAGAAACCCAAAACAAAAAGTCAATCACTTCCATTAACCAAAAGACAAACCGAGATGACAAAATCGCCATTTTTGTACAATGGAAACACTTCCGAGCTATAAAAAAAAAAATCAAATTAAAAGAAGCAAAAATCAGAAAAAAAGAAAAAGAAAAAGAAAACCTTAAATTTGGGAATTTAGAGAGGAAAAAGCAATCGCATTTGGCTTCCGAGTACGAAACGGCCACTCCCCTCTTGCCCTCGCAAAAGACTCTCGGAGCGAGAGCGTCGGTACGAGCGTGACGAGTGTCCGTACACAAACCCTTTTGCAGAAGCAGCTGCTTCTCCTTCAGGCGTCAGCGGGGAATGCAGAAATGAAAGCTTCAGAGAGAGAGAGAGAGAGAGAGGAGCTTTGTGTGTTGGAGGCGGACCGTGTGAAAGTGTGAGGGAGTGACGTGGCGGTATTTGATTTGTTGGTGGGGTGCGGTTCGCTTGCAGTCGTCATTGTCACGCGAGGAATCGGAAAGCGACTTGCGGTCCCGCAAAGGGATATGGGGGATGTTTGGATACGTGAAAATACAGCTCCCGGGACGGTACAGATTGAAGCCAGTGTTTGGCATGCGTTGAAAATGAAGCGACATCCGTGTCCATATTTTGCCAATTTTGGTAAAAAGTTAAAGCTAGGGTGACCTCATTTGTTTATACTCCTTTTTTGCTTGTCTACTCAAAAATGCAATGAATATTTTAATGACACAGTAACATGCGACTTTTCGAATTTACTCAAATTATGACATCATGTACAATTATTAATATTTAAACTTGGTTATAGATTTTCAGTTCAATACGTGTAATTAAGAATAATACTTAATTATTCTTAATTAATATTTAATGGACTACGTTTTAAAATAATGTAATTAAGAATAATACTACCACTTAGTACTACGATTTATAGGTGTTCCTCTTCATTAGTATGTAAAAGGTTTTAGGTTCGATTCTCACATAAATGCGAATTTGAATCACATTATTGTTAGTCCATTGTAAGGCTAAGCTTGCCCCCTTTCCTTAATGTAAATAATATCGATTGTTAAACTATATATATATTTGCATTCCCATATGAGCTGATGTCACGCCTTAATTCTAAGTTACACTATGGGTCAACAGGTAAAAGAAAGATATAGCGGTAAAATGTGGGCTAGTCTAGTTAGTGGAAGTAGAGGTGTCTAGTACTAAGCCAATATTATGTGTGGGCTAGTTAGTTGTGCTAGTGGCTTACCATTATTAACTAGCCCACATTCATACATATTATACATTAAATATTCATGTGAAAACATAATTCATAACAACTAATTCAAACTTCAAAGATGTAAAGAGTTACTGAAACCCTACTCTTCAAGCGCTTTGCCCTGATACAATTACTAGGAGGATCCTCGCGAGATCCTCCAATTATATCCGTTCATCGTACATTGTGCGGTAAAAAAACATTGTAAATTTTTTTATTTAAAATTGAATATAAACAGTACCTGACAAAAACTGATTGCACGATGTACAATGAACGGATGTGATTGGAGGATTCCTATAATCCTCATAAAGAAAATGATCGCACGATGTACAATGAACAAATGTGATTGAAAGATTATCGAGATCTTCACAAAAAAGATCCAGTGAGGATCCTCTCTTGTATAGTTATACTCGTAGACCTCTTAACCAAAATTACTTGATAACTTGCAAAACCAAATCCCTACAACGAGGTTTGATGCCAACAATTGATCAACAATACGCTTTTGTGCTTTGAAGTGTTAAAACACAAGCATACTTTTCTATTTTGTAGTATTTTTGATCACATTTTTTTATAAAAATTATTGTTTCGGGAACCAGAATTACTATTTATAACTTATCGTAAAGGTTGGATTAATCTTAGTTACCAACTTTTTGTAGATTTGAAACTTTTAGCACCTCGTTTCTCACTTTAAAACTTTCTTAACAAATCGAAACTCATTGTTTGTATCTAAAACTATCATATTTGTAGCATTAGTAATCAAATACAAGACCTGACCCAAACAAGACATAAACGGATACATCTAGTTGTTAGATTTCCAAATTCAAATGGAAAATCAATGTTGTGATGACCAAATGCCTTTACCATTTTCCCCTAGACATAGCAAAGTAGGCCAAAAAAAAGAGTCAAACAAAACCCTCATACCCAAATGGGGAGCAGAGGAAGAAGAGATGGGAGACTCAAAAGTCTCAAACTTTATTAACTCCGCCCACGGGCACCACCCTCCCTCTCTCTCTCTCGTCGCTCCTCCATTACTCTCACACAAAAGACAGAACCTAGAGAGAGAAAGAGAGGGAGGGGTTTTTAGGCTGTGAAGTTTTCACCTTTTTGCTGTGTTTTAGGCGCTCTCAACCTCGACAGCCCTCCTTCCTCGAACCTCCCCACCTGGGTCTCCACGACCACAACCCACCATTCCAAGATTCCCCCCACGTCCCCTGTTCGATTTCCACAAACCCATCTAAAAGCTAAGCCCACCCACCTCTCTCCCCCTCTGTGCTATTAAGTCCAATCCACTGTTGCAGTCTTCCCCTTTCTCTCTCTAGCTGCTTCTTCTGCAACTCTCATGGCTTCCCGGAAACACTTGGCCGCTGTAAAGGTACTGCTGCAGCACCCAACTGTCAAAATTTCTGTTGAAACCCTAACCCCAACTGTGAAAGTCTCTCCCTGCTCGAATTCTGAGTGGGTTTTGGGTTTAAATTTTTGAAAAATGTTTCTGGGTTTTTTTTTTGGCAGGGCGCGAAAGTGCTCATGGTTGGGGCAGGTGGTATCGGCTGCGAGCTTCTCAAGACTCTCGCTCTCTCTGGCTTCCAAGACATTCATATTGTGCGCTTCTCTCTCTCTCCCCCTCTTCTGCTGTTGAATTTTAAGGGATGAGTTTCTGTTATTTTTTTAATTCTTTGTTAGTTTGCTAGGGTTTTCATTATGTGTTATACCCATATCATGTTCTTTTATTGAAGTTTAGGTGTTGTTTTTTTAGGGTTTTAATTAGGGAAAATAGTTCTGTTAGTACCAAATTTAGTTCAATTTTCTTCTGAATTTTTCTTTTTTAAAAATGACTTCTCTGTACAGTTAATCATGTGTCAATTAGAATGAAAAGTGATGAAATGTTGAATTAGTATTTGTTCTTCTTTCATTATCATCGTCATTGTTGATTATTCTAATGTTTTGTTAAGAATTATGACATTCTTAGAAGAATCTAGGATCTGGCTAATCAAAGAATTGGAAGAGAATGATCCAAATGTTTTACAGGAATCAAAGTGGTGGCAACTTCTTACCTAAGGCTTTAGACCTTAGAGTGTGTCTGGGGATTTTTGCTCATTTTAGTAACAAGTGAAATATTTTTAACCGAACCTCTAACTTGAACTTATAATAACACACAGTAGCTGACTAGTGCCAGTCAGGGCGATTCCTGAAGTGGTTCTACTCATAAGTATTCATTTTTCTTCAGTGTTTGTTAATTTTTCAGTTTGTACCTTCATTGCTGTCCTGTCCATTGATTGCTTCATACGCTTGTGGTGGAAATCCTATAATTTGTGTAAAGGGTTAATAAGCGAAAAGAAAGAAAAACTATATATTTAAACAAATTGATGGGGTATATGATATCCAATCTTGAAAAAGATGAATTATAAGCCACATTTTTATGGTATAGTGGGTTTGGATGTGGACGTTTGAGTTATATTTACCACTACTTGGATAGATCCCTATATGAATTTTTCAATTCATGACCTGAGGATTGATATTAAATTATAATCCAAATTCTTTTTCCAGATTCTGTGTATATGCAAGAATGAGCAAGTTTACTTTGTTTCTTTCGGTTATTATTCACTTGTGCAGTTGGTTATCTCAAATTGCAGATTGACATGGACACTATAGAAGTGAGTAACCTCAACAGACAATTCCTCTTCCGACAATCACATGTTGGGCAATCCAAAGCCAAAGTAAGTATGTTTAATCTATCTTATGCTTTCTATTTGAAAAGGTGTGCAGTGTATGATATTTTCATGGATATTTTTAACAGGTTGCTCGGGAAGCTGTCTTAAAATTTAGACCTGAGATAAGCATAACTTCATACCATGCCAATGTAAAGGATTCTGACTTCAATGTGGACTTCTTTAAGAACTTTAATGTGGTCTTGAATGGACTTGACAACTTAGATGCTAGACGACATGTGAATCGCCTGTGTTTGGCAGCTGATGTTCCCTTGATTGAAAGTGGGACAACTGGGTTCCTTGGACAGGTGAGTTATTGCTTTAGAGTTGGTTGGCAAGAAACTAATTTTTTTCATTGGAACTAGGTCTGTCAATTGATTGCATCTAATAAATTATTGTCTGTCCATTATGTTTCTGGTTCCTTGTATGGTGTGTGTATGTGTATATTTTTTTATCTTAGATCACTTGAGCTTTGTAGAATTGTAACTGGTTTCATTATTAGCGATGCCAATCTTCATATGTCAAAGATGTCTAGGTCGGGAAAGGTAATTTCTTTGCTTCATGCGTAGTTGGCATGTTGGTTTTTGATCTGGACAGTGCTTTATAGCAGTTGCAGAAGGGGTTTCATAATGGAATGTCTTTAGCTGAGTTCATGCAGTGAACTATCTTTTCCCTGTCTAAGAATTCATGTGCTTCATTGAATAACTACATCAGCTAAGGATCCTATAGTATTCTTTATTATGTGTTTGTCTGTGATCGTTTATCATAGAAATGTTTCATTGATCATCATCTATGTCATCAAATGTTACATTGATCATCATCTATGTCATCATTATCATCTTTACCCTTGTTCCAATCGTACAGGGTTAGCTATATGAATTTTCTGTCTTACATTATGTTATTCTGCATGATGTTAAATAGTTTCAAGTCCTTTTTTGAGTGTGGCTAGATGTAGTTTTGGAGAGATATATTATGTACTATGTAAAACTAATAGTTTTTTTAGAAACACATGGTGGAAAAAACCATCAGTGCATTTGACCGGCATATTCAAACTTCTGCATCATTTTTATTATTTCATTTGTCCTTTTATTTGTTTTGCAAAATGCTTCAGTGCAGTTGGTTTTGTTTGAAGGTTCTTTCCTCCCCTTTTCACTTATTTGTTGACTCTTTAAAATCAGGTGACTGTACATGTGAAGGGAAAAACAGAGTGCTATGAATGTCAGCCAAAACCTGCTCCTAAAACTTATCCTGTCTGTACCATTACCAGTACTCCATCAAAGGTATTGTTGATGGATAGTTATTTTTGTTGTTGTTGTCTTTGAATAACTGTGTGTGGCTTGTATTGGGAAATCAGTTTTCTTGATAGTTGGTTACTTATATCCTGTGAATTAAACATCTCTAATTCTACCATGGAGACTTGAATAATCTGGAAGAGAAAACAACACGAGTAATAAAAGACAAAGGAATCCATTTTTTGGGGGGGGGGGGGGACCAAGAAACGGAAACCATTTATAGTTAATAGATTTAAGCTGGGCTTAGTTTTTTCCTCAGAAATTACTACTACCGCTGCTGCTGCAATTCGATTGTTGTGAAATTGGTATAAGCACTATGGCTTGTGAATGATGTTTTGGGCCATAAAAATGATATTGAAAGATATACAATAGAAAACTAAATTATATGGTTTGCCAGTTTGCATGGAACAAAGTTTTAGTCGGATTGGACGATGATCATTTTCCTCCAACAAATTAAAATGGTATATTCATCATTGTTCAAGATAACCCCTTGCTCCATGGGTCTAGACTTTGACTGTATAATCTGTATTTTGCAGTTTGTTCACTGTATCGTATGGGCAAAGGAACTTCTCTTTGCAAAGTTGTTTGGGGATAAGAATCAGGCAAATGATTTGAATGTACGTTCTAGTGATGGTGCTAGCTCATCAGAACAGGCTGAAGATGTATTTGAACATAGAAATGATGAAGACATTGAGCAGTATGGAAGAAGAATATATGATCATGTATTTGGTTATAACATTGAGCAAGCTTTGTCTAATGAGGAGACATGGAAGAACCGCAATAGACCAAGGCCTATATATAGTAGGGATGTCATGCCTAATGGGCTCGGTCAACAGAATGGAAGTATGGAAAAGAATGGTGCATCCAATGATGTATATTCAGTATCTGCCATGGCATCTCTAGGAATGAAGAATCCACAGGATATATGGAGCCTTATGGAAAATTCCAAAGTCTTTCTTGAGGCTTTGAAACTATTTTTCTTGAAAAGGCAGAAGGTTAGTTTAAACTCTTGTAGTAAGGAAAGTCATTGCACAACCATTTATTTTCCATATGTCAAGCTGGACTCATAACTTTTATTTTGTTCTCAGAACTCTTTTAACTTTTTTTGCGTTTTTGTTTCTTGTTATCTTTGCGGGGTGTGGGGGCACTGGTGGCAGGAGATTGGAAATATGACTTTTGATAAAGATGATCAGCTAGCTGTAGAATTTGTTACTTCTGCTGCAAATATACGGGCTGCTTCTTTTGGAATCCCATTGCATAGCCTTTTTGAAGCCAAAGGCATTGCTGGTAATATTGTTCATGCTGTTGCAACAACGAATGCTATTATTGCTGGGTTGATTGTCATTGAGGCAATAAAGGTGCTGCAAAATGATACAAAGAATTATAGGTGCGTGCGATTGCCCTTGTAATAAATAAAAAAAAGTGCTTTTTTTTTCTCCTTCTCTCTCTTTCGATACCGTTTTAAAAAAATGTGTTCTATTTCAAGATAATTTGCTATTCTGAATTTTTGTATTTCAAAATGGTGAAGAGAAAATATTTCTTTTCTTGGTTTTCACTATTATCTTTTACTGAATTCTGGTATCTGCACACAAATACACTTGTGCATCGACACACATACCCACACAGAAATGCACTTATAATTGGTTGATGTGCATCGATGAGTCTAGAGCCATGATCATATATTGGTTTAGGGAAGAAAAGAATTCTTTGACTGCTTCTGATGTGAATAATTCAGGAACATGAGATGGTAGTACATTTCTGGCATTGCTTTATTTGCACTGGTTGGCTTGCATATAGGTGTAATCGGAAGGGTGGGTCCTACTTTTAAGTCATTTTCAATTTCCATTTGTTTGATTGAAGTCATACCAGTTTAACAATTAGGGAATTGAAATTTGAACAGTATGTCATTGATGATGGTCATTCAGCCAGCCTGTAGTGCAATGGAGCGGCTTTACTTTTATTTTTTTCTTCCCAGTGGTTTGTTCTACGCTGTATTTTTTTTTTCCTTGTGGTCTGATTCTACCCTGATCCGAATGGCTATGTAGGATGACATATTGTCTGGAACATCCAGCAAGAAAAATGCTGCTCATGCCAGTGGATCCATTTGAGCCTAACAAGTCCTGCTATGTCTGTTCAGAGGTATACTGATTGTTCTTTTCTAAATTCCATCTTTGTGGGATCTTTGTGCTGACAGTTAAAGTGGAATTGCGATATGCACTAATGCAATATGATTGTAAGCAGACACCACTATCACTTGAGATCAATACTCACTGCACAAAGTTGCGGGATGTAGTTGAAAAGATTGTTAGAGCCAAGCTTGGGATGAGCTTGCCACTCATTATGCATGGGTCAGCCCTTCTTTATGAAGTTGGTGATGACCTGGACGAAGACATGGTTGCAAATTATGCAGCAAACCTTGATAAGGTATGAATTCTTTTCCTTTGTTTCTGGAAGACTTGCTCATGTACATGTGTCTTGTTTGTGTGATTTAAAAAAAATGTTTTTACGTAAAATTGCAGGTGCTGTCTGAGCTTCCTACGCCAGTTACCAGTGGGACCATGCTGACAATTGAGGATCTTCAGCAAGAACTATCATGCAAGATCAATATTAAGCACAGGTGGTTCTTTATCCAGTTGATCTGCAAGCTCCTATGCATCATTAAAATTGCTTCTTAACATCACATACAAAATGATGGATGACTTTAAGACATGAGCATTCGCAATAACTAATTTTCCTGTTATGGTTTATAAAAATAAAGCTTCACGCAGCTGTATAAGCTGAAATATTTTTGTGAGATAGTAAGCAATCAGAAGCTGTGTTAGTTGAAGTTAATGTCCTTCATCCTACAATTTATCTTCTCTTCCATTATTGGCTCCCCCACCCCCTGAAACCTAACCAAGTATGCCATTGAGGTTGCATGAAGCATTTTCTGATCTAGTAGCCGTTTTTTTTTATTTTTTATTTTTTAATAGGGGTTGGGTGATGATGCTATTTTATTCTTTACTGTCATGTAATCTACATGATTATTAATGCAAGTTTGATTTCATGCAGAGAGGAGTTTGATGAAGAGAAGGAACCCGATGGAATGGTTTTATCTGGTTGGACTCAATCTCCTGCGGTGGCACAGGATGACAAGAAGTCTACTGCAAATGCTGGAAGCACGTCAAATGCATCATCATCTATGGAGGCTGAAAGGACTGATGATGTTGAAACTACTCCTGGAAGGAAGAGAAAACTGTCTGAGGTTTCTGAGGCAGTCAATCCAGATATACCAAGTGTTGCTGGCAGTAGTACAAGAAATCCCGAGAAATTGGAACTTGTTGATGACGACGATGAGCTTGTCATATTTGATAATTGGGATTCAGTCACCAGCAAGAAGATAAAGTTGCAATAGTTCATCCTTGGATCTCTAATGTGGAGGCGTCAGTTCAGTTCTAATTTTGTACCATTAGTGAGAAGCACTGATTCTTTATGGGAGGTTGGCTCAATTGCTGTTTATTAGGTCGAGCCGGTACAAATTAAGCAGTCTTTTCGCTTCCCTTCTTCTGTGGTTGTAAGTGTAATGTGTCTTCTTCTTCCTAACTTAGTTGACAGATTTTTAGCCCTGTAACTTGAAAACCATAACTTAGAAAATGCCCCTGAAATGACTAAACTAGTGAATCATGAATTTCGGAGTTCCTTTTTATGTCATCATGAATTAAGTTTCCACCATGGATTTGGAAAATATTTAGGTTTGAGTTGCGAAAAGCGAAAACATGTGAGGTGATTTTTCGTAAAATCGCTTGAAAGTAATTTTCCAAGTGAGTTTACGGGGAATTGCTTCTCATGTGCTTCTCCCCAGAAGTGCTTATGCCCCCTTTTACAATGGCGTCTGAAGTGGCAGGGGTTTGTTACTTAAAGTGGCAAGGGTTTGTTACTCAAAGTGGTGTAGAGCGTTCACCCATGTTGCATCTGAGGTTACATGTTCGAGTTCCTTTTGCAATATTGCTCATATGTGTGGTTGTACATGAAAGTGAGTGAAACCTACTAATATTAGCAATTTGAGGGGGGGATTATACAACTTAGATGTTAAAGCAACAGCATCTTCTACATGAGGATTTCATGGAACTAGCTTGGCCATGTGATGCTACTGATGTTCTCGTTATAACATGGCTAGACACGACAAGTTTATATTTTATTAAAACACGGTTAGACACCACAAGCTACTATTTTATTAAAACATACACACATGTGTACGATAAAGCGGAAAACAAAAGGGGAAGGTAGCTAGCGTTCTCCTTTGTCCATTCGTTTAAGTGGGGGAAAAGAGAGATTCATTTGTGGATTTCTGGCATGCCACTCAAAGCTCATGTGATGTGAAGCTGATTTGTTTACAACATTTTGGACCTCTCAAATTGTTTACAGCAATTACATAGAGAGCTCGTATGAATTTAGTATTTTGAATGTTGAATGAGCTTTCTTTTGAGTTATCAGTTTTGCGGAGATTAAGCCTAATACTGCTGCTGCTCATCTCATTGAATTTGCACCAACTGTATATGCTCCAATTTACATATAGGTTTGTAAGTTTGTGTTACATTTGCCTCGAATCTTAGGTATAACCGGTTGTACAACACTATAAAAGGGAAGATTTCTCACCACAAAAAACAACAGATTTTGAAACACAAAAGCAAATTTATTAATAATAAAGTCTCACAGCATTCATCATCTGAAATCCCCATCAACTACCAAAAAGCATCAAACAGAAACAAACATCAAAATATAACTCCTACAAGGAGAGAGAAGTCTATCGAAGAAACTAACAGCACACTACTAGTAACTCCAAGCGCCCTCAAAAACCATGAATCTTGATCCGCTCCTTGTCGGCAATATTAGCATCAACAAGAAACTGAAGCACCTTGTTGCGCTGATCGCCTTGGAGCTGAATTATCTTGCCGAGCTTTTTGTCCTCAACCACATTGCCATTGCAGCAGAACTCCCTTTTCAGATCCTTAGGCTTCTTCTTGAAGTCCAGGTCCTCCTTCAGCCCTTCAACTATTGTCAGGCACTTCTTTCCATTCCTCTGCTGCACTCGAACATGCACATACTCCTTGGCTCCAAGCGCATCTGGCTCTTCGGTGTCTCTAAAAGGGTCATTAAAAGGGTCGAAAGGAGCTAGGGGCGTGCCGTATATATCTCCTGTGTCAGCTAGAGGGTCAACAGTAGTTGCGATCTGAACGTCTGGGTCAATCATGTAATTTGCTTTGATTGAGAACCTAAACAAATTAATCTGCAAACTGCAACACAGAACAATAACTGTTTGTTAGCCTTCCTCACATCGCAATCTTCAACTGACAATCCACGTAAACCACGTAAGAAATCAACGCCTCCGATCCAACAGATTAAGAACATGAATACACAGAAGTCAAGAATGTCTTGCATAGAAGAATGCATACATCATGCCTCACGAAATAAATTCAAATAATTCATCTCATGACAGACTCGTAACTCGTAACTGGGTTTTTTTTGGTTTTTTTCCAATCTTCCAACGAACAACCCTAACTCTAATGACCAGGAACATCAAAACACTACAAACATAATTCAAATTATTCATGCATGCTTTAGATTTGTCACGAAAATAAAAATTCACAAGCGTAATCCTAATTAAATATTTCAGTCAAACATATTATAGATAATTTCACTACCAAAATCCAGAAAAAGTATGCAAAACCCTAGAAAGTAGAAACTCTAATTCCTAGCATCAATCTCAGAGAATGCACAATGCAATTCACATCCCAAAAAACAAATAAAAAAATAAGAGACGAAAACAAACATACCTGAAGAATAAAACTCGAAAAGGTAAAAGGGGTTTAGGGTTTCTGACTTTCTTGGGAACTAAGGAATGTTCGATGATTAAGCTTCGGTGATTTGCGTATGAGATAATTATAGAGGCAGCGGTGTCTATATATAGGCATGGAAGCCGGCAGCATATTGCACGTGGATGGACGAGATGGAATGTTAGGGGAAGAGACTTGAACGGTGGGATTATGTTGGTGTTTTGTTTCCTTTTCGTTGGAGGACAAACTCAATAGCATTTTTTCAAAAATAAAAAAATAATTTATCATAGTTGTGAAAAATAATCATGTTTATGCATTTTTGTGTGCCTTGGATTTTCACTGATCCTCTTGCCTAACAAAAAAAACTTTATTATTTATAGTGCAATAACAAATCCGATACTATAACAGAATAAATCAAAATGAGGCTTTGAGTTGAGTATAAAATTTAATTTTAAGTACTACTAGTGAAAGAACCCTAAATCTTTAATGTAAAATATTAAGGGTAGTGCTACCCACACATCCGTTTTTACATCTTACGCACTTTTCTCAAATTTCAACCATCAGATAAAAAAAATTGAAGAAAATCACCAAAAATTAATAAAAATATGTGAGAGGTAAAAATATATATGTGAATAGCAATATCCAATTTGAATGGTAAATTCCATCTATGATTAAAGTATTATGTGAGACAATATAAAGGACTTTGAATGCAGCATGGTCACCCAGGATATAGTGGACCATCTCATCAAATGAACTAAACTTGGAGTTGGAGGAAACTCATTGGCTTTTTATGCGTCGAAAGGAACTTTCTTTGAAGCTGCGGGTAAGTCTTTGCCTTTGGATCTTTTTATCATTGGTCTACAAATCCAATTAATTAGATTTATATTTAATCAAGGTTCTAAAAGATATTAGGCGTTAGTAGGGTGCTTGGTTGGAGCCTAGTGCCTAGGCGATTAGGCGGGGTCTAGGCGGGAGCCTAGGGGATTTAAGTAATTTTATTATATATCATATAAATAAGCATCTATTTATACTTAAAAAAATACATAATTGTGTTGGAATACCTAATTTGCAAAATAAAATGACATATATATTACAAAGTATTAGAACATATTGATAATATAGGGAACAATCATATAATGAGTATTCATCCAAGTATTCAACAAGTCTTTTACATTTTATTAAAAAAATAAAATGCAAAATGAAAGGTATCAATTTTATGTCTAAGTGAGAGTCGCGACCTAAGTTAGTGCATAGGCAGTCTAGGCGGACACATAAGCAGGTCTAGGCGCCCTTTCTTAATTTTCAAAGGTCTAGGAATTAATCGGGACGGGACGGCTCTAGGTGGAAATTTTTAGAACAATATGACAAAAAAGGCCAAATTTTCCACAAGATTGTGGCATGAGCTGTCTTTGGCTTGGTCTCCACGTTATTCTAATTAATTAGTTCTATGAATTTTTTCGGTTTCTCTTTAATTTATTTAACCTATTAATATTATCGTTCTCCTCAAGGTAAATCACATTTGCACCCTTTTATTTTAAATATTGACCCTTTATTATTCCGAAGTTGCGAATTGTTACACTATTTACCATTTCATAAAGTTAATTGATTAATTTACGCAAGACTCGAAAGCTTTTTGCACCATATTGGTGTCATGTAGGTCATATTATGTTTTTTAAACAAAGTGGCAAAAAGCCCGAGAAAAGAAAGAAAACTACAATAAGTCACGAGACCAAGCGACCTCTGGCTATTTAGCAATTAGAAGACGTGGACAGGATGAAGGAGCTTGCTAAAAAATACAAAATGTAGGGCATATTATTTCACTCTATCTAATATAGAGGGTTAAACTTTTTATTAAAAAACTTTCTTAGTTGTTGTGTAGATGCAAATGGTGCTTTACCGCAATGGTAGAAAACAATCATGTCTATCACTAATGCGGGTTCGATCCCCACTGATCTCTCGTCCCCCCCCCTCCCCAACCACGTACAACAATAATTTTACTCACTAACACTATTGTTAAAAAAAAAAAAATTGTTCTGGCCACCATTTCCAATCCTACTCCTTGCAAAAACATACTGGCTGGCTTGCTAATACTGACTGATGCCACGAATCATGTTACTCCTAATCTTAGTGTACAGAATCAGATCATCAAACTAGAAAGCTCTTGCTATTACTTCATTGAGAATATTTGGATTTGTAGTGTGTGTAAGGATTACAATTCTTCCTCTTTGTTTCACTTCTATGTTTTGTGATATAATATTTGAGCTCTGGCTCTTTCTGCAAATCTTGTTTATCACTCTAGTACAAAGCATATTGAGGTCGGCTTTCCCCTTGTACGCAAGTTACTTTGTGGTAAGACTATTCAGGCTATCATGTTTTATGATTCGACTGGCTGATGTCTTCACCAAACCTTCCTCCCATTGATCGATTTAAATTTCTCAAATCCAACATGAAGTTGCGTGCCACACCTTTCAGCTTGTGGTAGGTGTTGATAGTGTTTGATGTTTAAATACTCAGCCACATTCTAATAGGAAATCAATTGCCACACAAGAATGCTTGGATAGTGCCATTATCTTATATATAAAAGAATATCAATCTAATTATCATTGATTGATTAAAATAAACTATAACAGATTTCTCAAGATTTTTTCTCTCTACTTAATTAGAATTTTCTCGACTACCAAACTATCCTATATTTTGTTGACCCGTGGGTACGAATAACTACTTCCAATAGGGACTCCCTTCATTTGTAGGAGTCTCCTTTTCCACATTTAAGGTCCTTAATCCCCATTTAGATTCCACTAATGACTATTATGAGTTAAACCGACATTATATTATGTAACACTACAGCCTTCTTAATGATCACTACCATAACTCTATGAATGTAGCCCAACCACGTACGTGTTGTGCTCCGCATCTATCACTGTCTATATCATCTCCACATGACCACTTTATCTCTAAGTTTTTTTGGCATCAACAATTGAAAACAAAATGTGACATTAGATTTTTGAAATTGTTTAATTTCATCACAAAGATATTACACCAAACCAAGTTCTAGCACAGATACAATTACACAAGTCTGTTTTCTGTATCGAAAACAAAAACAAAAACCAAAATTAAATAAGAAATAAGATCTAATACATGCATATGTTTAAATTAGTACTTTGATATTTACACAATATGGGAGAAAGGAAAAACTAGCTCTTCCTTCCTGGTTCTTCCGCAGCTAGATCCTCCAAAAACCACTCCTTAGAACGATATTCGAAATCGGCACCTCTTGAGATTTTGGAAAGCAGCAAAGTATTGCAGAAAAGAATGTTATTGTGCTTTTCCTGTTCGTCAGTTGATTTATATTATTCATACACCAACGCAGGGTGCAGTACATTGCGTGGTGCTAGAAACTCTTCGACATGGATAAGGAGGGTATGCTGGAATGGGGAAGTTCTTCCTCTCAGAATGTTTCTTCCTCTTTTTCGCATCGGGATTTTCTGGTTTCTTCAGATCATCGAGGCTTCGTACATCGGCCATGCACGTAAATGATCTTGATTTCCCTGAGTAGTACCTTGACAACCCTCTCCTGCTGAGAAACAAACATGTGCAATAAACCAAGTTTGAAATATAAAAAATATTTTCTATTAACCCATGCACGTATTAGAACAAATTTGTGTACATCTGGTGCGTTGCATTCGACACATACATAATCTGTGCACGCAATGTACCACATAAAATGTAACCGTTAAAAATGTTCCCTCGAGAAACCGAAACATTAAAAATGCGAAAATCAAAATGGAAAATCTAGAGAAAACAATGCGTTCTTTGAGAAACCAAAACATTAAAAATGCGAACTCAAAATGGAAAATTTAGAGAAAACAATGTGTTCTTACTTTTGTGGGAGACTTGTTCTTAGCGCCCCCATGTCGAATGCTCTCATATTGTCATCTTCCATGATTTCCAGTACTAGAAAGCGAAATGAGGTTGAAGAAGAAGTTCAGATTATAATGAGTTTTTACGTATGTACTGCAATTTGTGTTTGAAGTATATATATGTGTGTGTGTGTAGGGAAACAGTTAATTGTGGGATATGTATATAAAGGTCACATATGGATAAATGGCAGTGGGGATATATAGGAGCTCACACGTCATGGGGATTGGGGTTGCAAACTTGTGTTGAGGGTTCGATAAAAGTGGGTTGTTTTGGAGCCTCTCAAAACTCACACCGTGTTTGGTGTAGGTTATTCATGCCAACCTCACCACATCCTTATCTACTTTCACTCTTGTTCGCTGGCCTTGCCCACCATACGCACCCTTATTTTCTCTCTTCCTACTATTTTGTTGGAAGAAGGAATCCTATTCATATACACTCTTTGACTCTCTTACGTATGTAATACATGTAGGAGGATGAACCTTGGGGACCCCTCAGAAATTGGGGCCATGTTGGTGCACCTTTTGCAACCCCCCCCCCCAACGCCGTCTTTGTTTTTTGTCATCTCCGTTTTTTGAATATTCACCTCATACAGATGCTACTATAAATTTAGCCACTGTTAAAATCAAATTTAATATAAAGGATCGTACACACACACACACACACACACACACACACACACACACACACACTTTCTCTCTATCTCTAGGGCAATAAAAATAAAAAACTAGAATCACAAACGGGCCTTTAAACTGAAGGTATGGAATGTGGAAAACCTATTTAACCATATTTTTTTAGCGTAAGCTAGTATACTCGTTCTTTCAATGAAAACGCATGGAAATGCAAGATTGTTAATGCTCAACATTCGACCAGCCAACATTTAAGTTCAAAGTTGGTTCAACTCTAAATGGGTGACTTGAAAGTGGAAAGAGGCTTCTAAGCAGTGGCGGAGCCAAAATTTCTTGTGAGGAGGGGCCTCAAACAAGTATAGAAGAAGAAAAAACGAATAGTGATTATAAAATTACTAATGCAAAACATCATAATATTTATCCAAATAATTAAGTAGTCAAAATTAACATATGCATAGATAATTTTATCTATCCATAGTAATTAAAATTATTCTTGACGAATTGCAATGAAACAGTTGCATAATGTCATCTATAGTATTTAAAAATTATTAAACTGAATAGAGAGAAGTACGAAAATCTTTGCAAACCCTAAAACTCAAGTAAGAGGTGGGATAGAATAGAAACAAATGTTTTATATTGAATAATAGAGTATTACAAACCTTTTTGTTCTTTATTCAATAAATTTGGGATTTAGAATGGCTAAATATATGAAATTCAATAAGAAAAGGTAAAAACTCTCCCCATGCATAAGTGAAAGACTATTTTATTTTAATTAAAAGTGAATGATGGGTTTTAATTTAATGTTATTGATTTGTGAGAGGGTTGTGCTATCCACACACCTCTTTTTGCTTTCCATACACCCTCTCAATTTGCGATCGTCTGATTGAATGAATTGAATATCGAATGACATAAATTAATAAGAGTGTGTTAAAGGTAAAAAAATGTATGCAGATAGCACTACTCTTTGTAATAAATGACCATTTAAAATATATACTTATTTTTGGAATGGTATCTATGAGATGAAAAATAGATAATGATTGAATTTGTTTTAGTTGTTGAGAAAGGCTGCAAAGCAATAGAAATAGGTGTATTAGACTAATCTTATTTTTTAAGTGAGAGTAGGCCTAGGACTACTGTAGTCCTTAACTGCCTTCGCCACTGCTTCTAAGTAGAAGTAAGTATATTGGAAAGCATGAAATACATCAGAACCTTTTACATGTTCATAGGTTATTTCCTTTTACTACTCTTCGATGTGGCATATGTTGAGCATTAATGCACAATCTTTAGAGTGGTTTGTTCCTAACCACTCATGGCGTCGATTCTTAGGGACTCACGAGAGTTGTAAGTCACATTGCCATGGTTCCGAATGAATTGTGTATGAGGGACCTTGAAAGATTTATGTAACTCGAAGCGGGAGTACCTTTGTGACGACCCGTCCCGAATAATTATATATTTTTATTCTCGAATGTGTGGAAATGACAATTATGCAATCGAGGCTTAGTGACATGGATGTATGTATATAGTTTTACATTATTTTTTCCGCTAATGTGATCAAATTGTACTCGACGTCATGAGAGTGTCGACTTGAGTTAGGGCCGAATTGGGTTCGTGGTGGAAATGTTATGAAGGAATAAGGAAATTGGGTTGGTTTCTTTTGATTGGACCCAATTGCATGAACCTTAATCATGCAGCCCAATTAGGGCTTGAGGCCATTTAAACTGGCCAATCCACACACACACACACGTGTACAACCTCACCATCCCTCTCCCTATTTCTCAAACTCTCACTCTCATCCGTACAATCAAACCCCCTAACCTTCAAACACCATCACACACACACAAACACACACACACACACACACACACACACACACACACACACACACACACACACACAGATCGAGCTTAAGGACAACACCATCATACTTCCCTTGACCTCATGAGTTTAGCCGTACCATTTGTTTGAGGGGAAGACATGTAGAACTCGAGATACCCGAGCTCTAGCGAGGGGTTTAATTTTTTCCGGCGTGATCGCAAAGGATTTACCTAGTTTTGAGACTTAAGAAGGTACTTTTCTAGCTTCCCTAGCACTTTGGAACAATTTTGGAGTATTTTGGACATCGAAATAAGCTCGGCTATGGGTTTACAAGTTTAGCGAGAATTATGAAGGATTTTCTGACAACTTATCGTCGGTTTTAGGACCCCAAATAGGTATGGTTGCATTCTACTCTTTGAGAGCTTTGAATCCATATAAAATTCATGGAATTTGGTTGAGTTTTGAAGAAGATATTGAAGTTTGAAGTTTTTCTAGTTTCCGACGTAACAGACGACGGCCAACGGCGGCTCCGGCGAGGACCACCGGAGAAGAAGAAGGAAGAACTGGCACGTGTAGTGGTGCTTGTTGATTCTTATGATGATTGTTAATCCAAGGGTCACTATGACTTGATCTTGGATGAACGAGGGCCTCAAGGATTTGATTTGTGGTGAAGGAAGAACTGGCACGTGTAGGGGTGCTTATTGATTCTTCAAAGGTTTTGGCGAAGATCGAATCTTGCTTTCTCGATTCTTCGGAATTCTTGGGAATTTGGGAGGTTGGATGCTTGAGAGCTTTAGAGTTTCAAAGCTTCAAGGATTTTGGATGTGTGGTGTGCGAATGTGTTGGTTTGTAAATTGGTGAGTGAAATGAAGTGAAATGGCCTCCTATTTATAGAGTTTTTCAAGTCTTAGTCTTGAATGGAAAATTAGAACTAAATAATTCATTTCTGTCAAGTGTTGACATGTGTCATTCTTGATGACTCGTTCGTTTTTGTTGAGTTACACGCTATGTGTACAATTTGTGTGACACGTGGCACATGCCATGTATGCCTCGGCACGTTGAAACTTTAATATGTTCGTCAACATTTATTTCACCGAAATTTCGATGTCTACAGTTATAAACACACTCTCACGTGGCAGAACCATATTTCTTACAATCTCCAACCGAGGGGCCAAAGGGCCATAGGCCAAATATAGCCCTGTAACAAAAAAACTATATCTAACCGAGGGGGCCAAAGAGCCATAGGGCCAAGCATAATTTATTATTTAAATTTAAACACTACAACAACTTAAATTTTAAAACTACAACAACTTAAATTTAAAAACTACAACAACTTAAAAATTTAGAAACTACAACAACTTAAATTTAAAGTCTATAATCATCATCATCTTCATCATCCGCCATTGTAGGAGTATAATCAGAGGTAAACAACTGCCGTCGGGCAATAATTTCCTTCTTTTTCCTATCAAAATAGGCCTTACTCATTCGAGCGTAATCCAAAATGTTCCTTAGCATATTCCTATCGTCCATCTCTTCTTGTATTTGTTTGGCTTGTTCTTCATGCCTACGGTTCCTTTCTTTCACGGCAATGACATTTTGCTCCGCCATGAATCACAAAGAGGCCACCATTTCTTGTTGAAAGGCGATATCATTATTTGCCTTGCCCTTTTCCTTCAATTTTCAGGCTTTGTTTCGTCCCATAGCCCTAGGTATGGAACCTTCACCCGAAGACGGATTTTCTACCCTTATTTCTTGAATGGTAGCAGATCCATTTTCATCCCCATATACAACTGAGGATGCATTTCCATAATACCGGCGTAGGACCTACTCTATGTTGAGGTGGATCTTCAAATAACACCCACAATTTACAAATTTCCCAACAACCGTGATGCTGAAAGGGTTTCGAGTTGTCCTCCATATACAATTCCTCCGCTTGGCGTACCTAGAAAATATAATTGCAAAAAGTAAAGGAAATTAATTTATGAAATTAAATGTAATATAATTAAATATTTAAAATAAATTGTGAAAATACTTACTTCATCATAGTAATTGGCGTCGATTTCATGTCTACTTGTAGCTGTTAACAGTGCTTGATGCCATTTATTCAAACTTGGATGAAGATGTTTCTTCCATCTTGAAGAACAACTCTCGTGGTTTCGGGTATTCGGTGGAGTGGTGCATTTGTAGAACTAATAGTATTTTGGACACATGAGTCCAAACACCTTCACTTGTTTGTGAAGTCCCCCTCACACTATATTCTGAGATCCATCTATAAGCTCTGCAAAGAGCTTCATCTTCTTTTTGGGTCCAAGCTTTACCTTTCCTTGCAGATGTGGCCATTTGAAAATTATTGAAAAAATTGAAGGAAAGATTATTGAAAGAGGTAAGAAAATAGAATGTGAAGAATTGAAATAGAATGATGTGAGATAGTATGGAATGGTGAAAATTATTTGAGAAATTGTGTAGGAATGACTTAGGTATTTATAGGAAAAAAAAGGGATTTTTTTTTAATTTTTTTCAAAAAAATTTGGTAAAAAAAAAAAATTTCAAATCCAACGAAAACTGATGTCAGCTATCGTTGGATTCAAAATTTTGGACAGCCTCTGGCCGACTGGCTAGGTTGGGCTAGTCGGTTGGCCCTTTTCTCCTTTTTTGGCTCAGTGGGGCCCACAAGCCCTTTGACTTGGCCCTCTATTGGAGATGATTTTCGTGTCATTTCGAACAATTTTCGGCCCTCTAGCTCTCTGATCGGATCGGTTGGAGATGGCCTTACAACAAAAATGTAGTCTCGATGGCAATATTTGGCTAATAAATGTGGGAACTTTAACGAAAAGCTCCCGGTACTGTTCACTTTAACAAAAAACCATATTTTTATATTAAAAAGTCAATCATAATACTATTCACCTTATCAATTATTTTATTCTTATCGTTAACTTAAAATTTTCGAATCATTTTTATTAATTTTCCTAATAGATGATTGTTACGTGTATGGTTCAATTTGTCACGTAATGTAATTGTAAAATATCTATGCTAACCTGAGGAACCTCCCCAACCCATCAATCAACATCGTATTAATGTAGCTGAGGACTCACCGTCTTTTCAATTTTGCTTTGCGTGATCGAATCATTTCCATATCTTCTATGGGTCCAATTCAATACTCAATCTCCATCTTCCAAAGACTATCGCCATTTGATAATTCAACCATACTACCAATCTTTTATGTTCCAATTCAATACTCAATCTTCCAATGTCAGCTTCACAGTGAAGAGTCATTTAATACTACAATTTAGTAGTATTCTATTTTATTTGTAAATGAGATATTTTAAATTTGATTCTCTTAAAAAATGAATTTAAACTAAATTATTGTTAATCTATTATGAAACTAAACCCATCCCGTCCCATTTCGGTGTGGACATACGATCTAACTATAGTGAAAACGGCACAATAACTGTGGGCCCCGCTTTATTTATTTATTTACTTTAAAAAAAGACAACTAGTTTATCCATCATTTTCAAAAATTGAAGACTTATAGAGACAGATCAACTTCCCTCGACCATAAGTCTAACCCCGCTTTATTAGGTAGTAGTTAGTTGGCCTGTTCGCTGCACTCTCGAGTCTTCGTCTATATTTTCTGTTGAAAAACCGCCGCACCGACAGAGTTTCGTTCCACTTTCTATCGGCGATTCGATTCCCCACCATGACGACGTCGTTGGACTCCAGTACTCAAAAGACCGCACCGTCATGGACTTCTCTGCCGTGGAGGACGCGGGTGTCGTTGTCCGTTCTGTCCAAAATAACGGACGCTGCCCGCCGCGCCGACGGCACCGTCAATCGTCGTCTCATGAACATCCTCGACTTCAAGTCCTCCGCCACCCCTGCCGCTCCCGTCAGAGGCGTCACCTCATCCGACGTCACTGTGGATCCCGCTCGCAAACTCTGGTTCCGCCTCTTCGTCCCCCAGTCCACGTTGTCGACTCCATCTGATCTACCCGTCATCGTATTCTTCCACGGCGGAGGATTCACCTTCCTCAGCCCTGCCTCATTCGCATACAACGCCGTTTGCCGCAAGTTTGCTCGGAAATTCCCCGCTGTTGTCGTCTCTGTCAATTACCGCCTCTGCCCCGAACACCGGTACCCTTCCCCATACGACGACGGGTTCGACGTCCTTACCTTCCTCGACCAAAATGATGACGTCCTCCCCAAAAACGCAGACAGATCCAGAATCTTCTTGGCCGGGGACAGCGCGGGAGCCAACGTGGCCCACCACGTGGCGGTTCGGGCCGCCCGCGAGAAGGATCGAATGCGGGTCGTGAAACCTGTGGGGTTGATATCGATACAGCCGTTTTTCGGGGGAGAGGAGCGGGTTGAGTCTGAAATCCGGCTACGCGGAGCTCCTCTGGTATCGGTGGGCCGAACGGACTGGCTGTGGAAGGTGTTTTTGCCTGACGGGTCGAACCGGGACCACGAGGCGGCGAACGTGAGTGGGCCGAACGCGGTGGACATATCGGGTCTGGAGTATCCGAATACGATTGTATTCACTGGGGGATTGGATCCGCTACTAGACAGGCAGAGGAGGTACTACCAGTGGTTGAAGAAATCGGGGAAGGAGGCGAAGCTAATCGAGTATCCAAACATGGTGCATGCATTTTATGTGTTTCCAGAATTACCAGAGTCTAACCAGCTGATTAACCAAGTCAAAGATTTCATTGCTTCCGTGTGAATTTGACTTGACTTGGTATTCTACTTTGGGAAATGGTTTCGTTGTTATCCTGTACCACTATGTCTTTTGCTGTATGATGGTCATGTTGAAACTATGAGAATTAATACTAAAATTTTAGTTTAATTAGACATTTGGTTTTCAACTAAGTATTTTGATTTTTAAACTGCGACATGGACTCTCCGGATCCCTTTCCATTACTCAAAGCTGCGACATGGACTCTCGACAGGTTGCAATGATGCTGAATTATCTCATTGATTGAGCAAAAGAAGTTAATGTTTTGTTATAGTTGTGTGTAATAATAAGAGCTAAACAATGTGACACTAAAATGGGTTTTCACCCAACAGTTTGTTTAAATAAAGAATAGGATCAGTTTTGTTTATGCAATTCTATTTGTTTTATATGATATGATTTGTTAAAAAGAAAAAAATCATTACCAAATAAAGGGGTGTGATATCCACACATCCCATTTTACTTCTCACATACCTTTTAAATTTTCAGTCGTCGGATCAGAAGAATTGAAGAAGATCAACGAACATAAATTATCAAGGGGTATGTGAGAAGTAAAATGAGGTGTGTGAATAGTACACCCTCCAAATAAAAACAACATCCACAATGCACATGTGGAAACATAAATGAACCATATCCAATAGGAAAATGACACGTGGACAATGCTAAGAATAACAGTTCTACCCTTGCATCATGAGTAGACCACAAAACTACCTAAGGCTTTCTACTGTCAATGTTCAATTAGCCCTAAATCTGATGTAATCCACAATAAGTCCACGTGTTCATAAGGTTTTCTACTCTCTCTTCCTCTCTCGTACGTAAGGCTTTCTACGCTCTCTCGCTCTCTTTTTCTTCTAATTGTTCTAATTATGGTCTAGGGTTCCACCAAATTCAATGAGACAATTCAACTCAATTTTGGTCAAATAAACAATAGACTGTTAGTTTATTTTTGGCTCTGCAAGGAGATGAATTTTGATATGAATTTTCTAATTTATATGAGGACACATTTTTAATCCCATCTGAATATCAGCAATCACAATCCCATCTGTAATCCCATCAGCAAACTCAATTTTATTTGTAATCCCATATTCAGTTTGAGTTATACCTCATATTCATATTCATATGAATTTCTAATTTCTATCTTATATATATGAATTTGAGTTATAATCCATATGAATTTGGTAGAATTGTCTCGTTCAATTTATTGGCTCTGCTCGACCTAAGGAAAAGTGGAAACATTTGTAATCTCATCTGAATATCAGCAATCATAATCCTCTACCCACCTCCCCTAAAACAGACTCGCAAACTAAAAGCTAATAAAGGAATAAAAAAGAAAAGGAGAAGTGCAGTTTGATATCTCCAACTAGAATTATCTAACCAACCCTAGAAAGATGATATTTCCATGCTGTTTCTCTAGTAATAAGCCTGCAAATTCTTAGAATCCTGTTATATTAATTTTACGATAGAATTTGAAAGATGACGACAATGTAAATAAGAATTTAATTTCTGATGCAGATTAAGAAGAATGAACTAGCTGAGGAGAATTTTTCTGCAGGAGTAAGCAAATATGATTAGGTAATTATATTGCACGAGTATTCGTTATCAGGTTGTCAAACTTTTATCATTTGATTGATATTTCCGATCTATATAGAAATCTGGTATTATGCAGAAATTTATGAGTATGTGGCATTTTTTGGGACTAAATGACCCAGTCTTTACTTCTTTTTGTAAATTAATTTTTTGAGAGATGAAGCAAGACATACCAATGAGCATTTCAGAGCTTGTTCATATAAATCGAAATTAAATTGATATTTTGGTGAATTTTCAAAGCTAAAGGTATGATGCAGAAACACAGAAATTCAGCAGCCTAACCTGTTTTGAATGAAATCTTTGACATTATTTCTCAACTCCAAATCGAATGAATCATGACATGATTCCTTAATTTGATTAATTGTTATTATCTATCGTTGTAGGATAACACATATGCTCCTGACGTATATAGTCTTTATTGCTTCAGTACAGTCGGTAATAGATGGAGAGATTGAAAGTGTCGAGTAAAGCAAAGATGCTATGACAAGTATGAGACTGATGAACAACGTTTAGCCATCACTCCTCCTTGGGTCACTGCAGAGCAATGGAATACTAATAAAGTATCAGGGTCTTCCGAAAGTAAAGGTAAAAAACATATGAGTACAAAGTTTTAATAGGAATTTATCTTAACTGAATCAAACAGAATGTTTTGAGGCAAATAAGGCTAATCGTTCCCAATGAGGTGCCCCTCATAGACACGTCCCTTCATAGAACATGTCGTATTTCATATGCTCAATTGAGACACAAGGTAAATGCATCAGGTATATTTAGTTTTTGGTTCTTCTCATAGGCACATACTTAAGAACATGCAATAGTTCAAGAGACCTAATTACCATTCATATGATTTTTTTTTTTTTTTTTTTTTCTGATGAGTTGTTGATATGAATATAGGACATATCCATGCTTTCTTTTTTAGATGAATTGTTGACATTAGTTTAGCACAAATTCATGCTTTTTCTTTAATGAATATTGCTGGTATTAACATTGGTTTCCAAGTTTGCCTACTTGAAAGCGAAAGCAGACAGGTACAAGTATAGCATGTATTTATGTAATTTTCTTTTTTCTATTTATCGAATAATAATTTAGTCTAAAAAGTTAGTTGATTTTGATTTCCATCTAACTGTGTAATATTCATACTTGGGTGTTCAATAGATTCCAGATTACTCACAACTAAAGACTTAGCGTGAGTAATGAGTCACAACCTCAACTACATCCACATGCATAGAAGCAAGTGTTATTGTCAAAAGTTTGTAACAAATACTTACTAGAGGCAGAACGTTAAACTAATTTTAGCATTCTATTAATGGTTTTGTAATTTGTATTTTTCAGGTTTGATTGAAGGGCTAGAGATCAAATAAAGATGATAACTTTTTTTTTTTTTTTTTTTTTTTTTTAAAGTATAATCTTTTAAATTTTCTTTTGAACAAAATTGTTCATACTTGGCTAGACTATTGAGACACTAAAGACAATTATTTCTTATTTAAGTACAAATCTATGAAATCGTCCATTGTAAACATATTATGGGTTTTGTATCACTTAGGAACTGATCACATTACCAAAAGGCAAACGTAAGATTGTCTGTAGGTGGGTACTTTCAACTTCTCTATATGAAAGCCATGAAAGTTCGTTACTGAGAAACTCATCCCCAATGTCTTTTATGTCTGAGAGGTCCGTTACAATTACAATAACAGTTTTTCAAATGGTAAATTATGTATGATATTATGTTATCGAGTTGGTTGGGTGTATAAGTGTCATTTGGAATAATTAAGATTTTATAATTAAGCCTAGATTGAAGTCATTACACCAATGATGTCATGTCCCAAAAAAATATTTCACACAGCACACTGGTAGTCCTTTTGCCAAGGCAAATTCCTTCGCATACGATTTTTTAGTTGTATTGTATTTGTATTTTCGACACTAAGAACCAGTTTAAATCCAACACTCAAGTTGTTGCTGTAAGATTAACCATAGGCTTTATGTTAATATACTTAGCCAAGAACACAAGAATTTACCAACTAAATCACAACCAACACATCAAATATGTTCTACATATGCAAATATTGAAGTGATATGTGCAACACATACCTCCAGACTGCTTCACGAAGTCTTTCCCATGTGTGTTGTTAAAAGACAGCAGATGGTGCTATTCCATTAAGCCAAAGGACGAGTGGATTCCGAGATGACTGTCATCGTTGAAAAGCAAATGACCAATGTTGTGATGATTGGTGACAGTCCAACCATGACCAGGATCAGCTGAAGCAAGAGCCACACGGATGGTGTCATAACCATGAACACCGCAACCTTTGCTGCAGTTGAAAACTACTTTGTTGCCAAAAGGAACTGGGTTCAAGAATACAGCAGGACACGTAAAGCACCAAGCCGTGACATTGTGTGTACAATCCGACTTCTTCATCTTCTTTAACTGTCACATGGACGCATACCAAGACACCCTCTACACACAACCTTCTCCTCTCTGCAAAACTCAATGCTCTCCAAGTTATAGGTAATTGGAACAATAAGAGCGTATTTTTATGAGAGCAGGGGCTTGTGGGTTTTATAATACAAAATCTGGATTACCCTATAATAATCCTACAAGGAATATAAAACCAAATCCTTGTACAAGTATGAGTTCTATTCTCAAGCCAACTGTAGAGTTTCAATCCAAACCAAAATTGAATTAACTCTTATAAACACATTAAGACCTCTTTATACCAATCTGAAATAACAATGATTATTACTAAACTGTGAGAATCACACTCATACTCTAACATTCTCCCACTTGAGTATGATTCACAACAGTAAATAATCATCTTAAATTCAATATAAAGGTGATCACATAAGTCATTCATCAACACACTAGTACATAGACACAACCAGCTTACATAAACCAAAACAATGAATTTATAATTGCCTCTGCAACACAAAATACAGATTTAACTTACAAATCACAATGTCCAGTTCATGTTCATAGCAATGTATCTAAGCTCAAGAGTAAACCAAGACGTCTACTCCCACTCACATTGCCCAAAATAAAAAATATCAAACATTCTTGACAGTAAGCTCTTAAAATTATTCATAATTGTATGAATAGCACAATTATATCAATCAACAACTTTATCATATTACCAAATCTTTTGGATAACAAAAGCTTAACCTCACATACAACTTACCTAAGCATTTTAAAGTATTGAACTTAAGAATCTTTTCTGTTACATCGCAGAATTAACTCAAAAGTTACAACATACTTAATTTGCACTTTGTAATTATGTAAACCATTATAGCAAAACCAAACCAATTTGCTCCCACTTATTTAGGCCATACTCAACACAACCAAGTTAAGTACAAGTTAATAGCAACTATATTAACTAAAAATCATTCCAATACAATGAATGACTAATCAGAATCCATATGGAAACCAAATTCGTCTCCTTTTGAATGCTAACATAATAGGATCCTTCTCATTACTTAAAAAAATTAAGTAACACAAATAATTCAAACAATTGCTTCAATAAAACCATAAACTGGTTTTTAAGCAGAATATACTGCACAACCGATAAAGAAACCGGAGATATGAACCAATTGGTTCCCGATTCCTTACTTATTGCATAATCTTAGTTTAGTCATGTACACCTAAACCATTATGCAACACAGTCTATGTATCAAAAGATAGTCACAATCCATTCAGAAAAACTTATCTCACATAAACCCAAAATCACCAGTTTCAACAATGATCAAAATCAGAATAGCAAGCACAATATTTTTGCATTCAATTTGATCTTAACTAGTTCAATATCTAGTTCAATATCCATCGAGCAAGATCAACCAAAATTTGATAATGTCTGGATATATATCACAACAATATGTCTTGATTAAAACGAGATAATTAAGACCACTATTTCTTCTGGAGAACTCGAAGTTCATCTTCCTCCCTATTTGTGATTTCAACCAAAATATAATAGTGGAAGCATACATCATGAAATCACAAATATACATATACAATAAGCATTCATCGATATATACATGATAGGATTAGTCAACAATAATCCAAATTAAAAATATTCATGCCTTTAATTCATTGTCAACACCATCATCAATTATATATAGATTCGTAAGCAAGTCCTTGGAGAAAATAATGATAGCCGCATATCATTAATCTTATGAATTTCCAATAAGATGACAAAATAATTATTTGCTTTCCGATTCATAATAGAATATATATTTTGTAAATGGCTAAAAGTTTATTGTCACAAGACTCATTATAGGTGGTCAATAAAACATCTACCTTATATATTCATCTGTTCATATATTTTCTTGTATGCATGCATGCATCAATATGCAGAGAAACTTATGCAAGTTCTATTTGATATAGATAAAACCGCATGCCCATAATTACAACGTCTATGCACAAATGCTATCTCCATATATATACAGATTTCATTCAAAAATGCTATTATGTATAAATCACAAAGCAATTGGCATCCACTTTATATATGCATTTATTTTTGTCGCTTTATAATACCTCCTTACTTGCATATAATATGCAATCAAATCCATTCCAACCCAAACTTGATATAAATCAAACCAATTGAAAATCAGGAATTGACACTAAGATATGCATGTGTAGCTCCCCGCAATTTAAATGTATCGAGATTCATACATGAAACAATGCATACGCATGGACTCTTTAATGAAAAATAGAAGAGTATATCTAGACATACACTAATTTATTTATGTAGCAAAGGATGATTCCAGACATCTCACATAAATCACAAGTTGGCATCTATAGGGATTTCGAGTTTAATCATGCCTTCACAATATATATATATATATATATAAACAAGCATACTCAAAATAGCAAAAGCCCTAATTCATTATACTCCAACTCATCGTACTATAATCACGCATATAGGAGAACGATTAATCATGCATGAAACAGTGAATTGAGTTACCTGAATGCATCATTGGACCCGTGTTCGTCAACCTGATTGCAATTCCTCGGTTCCAAATCAACAAAACAAATTATCTATCAATGCTCGAGATCCATCCATCCAGATTGCCATCACTCCCAATTCCCATGGACCTCATACCATTGCAGATTATCGAAGTAAATCGCCATTGTTACAGATGCGCCGAACCAAAATCATCGCCAAAGCGATGGCCAGAATCCCATCAACACAAATTCATAGAAAAAAGACAAACCATGAACAATAATATCTCTTAGACAAACAAAAACTTTTAATGTCGTCAAACCAAAATTTCATCTTTCTTTTATCTTACTAATATTTGGTCTGTACAAGGCATATTTTATGCACATCTTTATAATCAGATTCATTAATTCAAAACGATAAGACCCACAAAAAGCCACGGATTATTGATAACAAAATTAATAGCATATGTACTCACATTCCATAACCACCCAATGAATCCTTGATTAATTCTTATAAAAATTCATCATCATGGAATCAAACGCACAGAAGAAAAATTAATAACTGTACAAGCTTTAATAGATCAATTCTATCAAATTGAGTTCAACATGTAGCCATCATTCGTTTGGCATCTACCGCAAATATGACAAAACCTGTATTGTGGCAAACATGATATGCATAACAAACTCAATTCAAACCCTACATATTTTCTCACAAACTAAGCTCGACCGCTGCTAATTTACCATTACATCTTGCTGCTCCTTTTTATTATTTATTTATTTAATTTTTATTTTTGATCGAATTTAGATGTTAAATTCAATGGCTCTGATACCACATGTAAGATTAACCATAGGCTTTATGTTAATATACTTAGCCAAGAACACAAGAATTTACCAACTAAATCACAACCAACACATCAAATATTTTCTACATATGCAAATATTGAAGTGATATGTGCAACACATACCTCCAGACTACTTCACGAAGTCTTTCCCATGTGTGATGTTAAAAGACAACAGATGGTTCTATTCCATTAAGCCAAATCACGAGTGGATTCTGAAATGACTGTCATCGTTGAAAAGCAAATGACCAATGTTGTGATGATTGGTGACAGTCCAACCATGACTAGGATCAACTGAAGCAAGAGCCACGCGGATGGTGTCATAACCATGAACATCACAACCTTTGCTGCAGTTGAAAACTATTTTGTTGCCAAAAGGAACTGGGTTCAAGAATACAGCAGGACACGTAAAGCACCAAGCCGTGGCATTGCATGTACAATCCGACTTTTCCATCTTTTTTAACTGTCACATGGACGCATACCAAGACACCCTCTACACACAACCTTCTCCTCTCTGCAAAACTAAATGCTCTCCAAGTTATAGGTAATTGGAACAATAAGAGCGTATTTTTGTGAGAGCAGGGGCTTGTGGTTTTTATACTACAAAATCTGGATTACCCTATAATAATCCTACAAGGAATATAAGACCAAATCCTTGTACAAGTATGAGTTCTATTCTCAAGTCAACAGTAGAGTTTCAATCTAAACCAAAATTGAATTAACTTTTATAAACACATTAAGACCTCTTTATACCAATCTGAAATAACAATGATTATTACTAAACTGTGAGAATCACACTCATACTCTAACAGTTGCGACACAAATCCTATTGACACAATCCAACCTTGTCGCAATTAGAGGTGGCATTTTGGACCCGACCCGTTAACACGATCTGACCCAACCTGTTAAAATCAACATTTGGGTGGAAGCTTAACAGGTCGGGTTGTTAACGGATGAACCTATTAATCACTCGTTATTTCAGGTTCACCCGCGAACCCATTAACACCTGTTAAGACCCGTTAGTGTGGTTGTTTATATAATTTCATTAAAAGAAAAACTAATCCCTATTTCCTTCTCAAAACCATACTCCTCCTGCCGTCACTCCTCCCCTCCTCCTCCAAGCTAACTGCTACCTCCGTGCGGTTGTACAAAAACCTAGCTTAGGACCCGAAACACCATTATCATCCTTTGTGGCTCTGTACCACACGGTTCCACCGTCGTGTTCTCCTAACAGCTGAAGTGCCACCGCTCAACCGGTAGCAGGAAGCACATGCGGAACACCGTAAGAAAGCATCCAGGCCATTCTCAAGTCTGTAGGACTCCCATTTTCATTATATTTCTTGTTCAATTAGATAAAAATTGAAATTTATGAGTTATTTGATGTTTGGCTCTGCAGCAGGTCGAGGCTCAAACATGATGGGTGGAAACTGCAATCAACAGTATGGTTGGCAACAGTAAACGTTTGATCTGATCATTATAATTCATCATGATATGCACCTCCTTGGTCCAAGGGATATGATCATATGAGATCGATGGTTTAGCAAGTGTGAGCCCAAGGGTTCGAAGAGAAGCATCATTGAACCCTCATGCTAAATAATTTCTAAAGGATGTAATTGATTCATACACAAAATATTATCAAACTAGTGTTATGTTCTAGTTTCTAACTTCTACCCGTTAATCTATTACTTAGAAAAAAATATGCAATTGTGTTTAAGTTACTTCTACAAAATTTAAAAAAAAAAAAAAAAAGAAAAAATTGTTAACAACTTAAACAGGTGACCCATTAGCATAACATGTTGGATTTGAGTAGAAGAAATGCATCAAAATACTTTGTTATTTTATTCATCATCTAGGGTTTACAAATATATAGGCACACATACCTTACCTTATCCTACAAGGAAAGTAATTACAAATAAATAAGGAAACTAAATCCTAAAGATTACATATCCTAATCCTACCTAAAATAGGACTCCAATAACATTTACAATTAAGACTCAAATCAACACTCCCCCTCAGGTTGGTGCATACATATCATACATACCCAACTTGATAATTGAGTTTTGGAAAACCTTACTAGATACTGCATGAGTAAGAACATCGACCAACTGCTCTCCTGAACTCACAATCTATATAGACACAATCTTCCTTTCAAGATTTTCCTTGATAAAGTGTCGATCAACCTCCACATGCTTTGTTCGATCATGTTGTACCGGATTATCAGCTATTTCCCTTGCAGATTTATTGTCACAATATAACTTCATAACATCATTTGGTTCAAAACCAAGACATCTCAAAAGTTTACGTAACCAAAGAAGTTCACATATTCCGTGGGCCATACCTCTATACTCAGCTTCTGCAGATGACCTTGACACCACTTTCTGCTTCTTACTACGCCATGTAACCAAATTACCTCTAACAAATGTAAAATACCCAGATGTAGATCGCCTGTTAGTAACATTGCCAGCCCAATCTGCATCTGTAAACCCCTCAACCTTTAGATGTCCACGTTTTCCATAAAGTATTCATTTACTAGGTGCAGACTTGAGATATGCCAAAATTCGCATTACCGTAGCCATGTGATCTTTACTGGGTGAGTGCATAACAACCCACATGACAATCAAGGTTTGTATTTCATCCATCATATAAATCATTATGTTTCAACATAAAATCGCAATTCATATCATGTAATATATCAAAGAATCAACAAAGCACAATAGTATCCTCTAGTTGCCTTGATCACTGATCTAATTATATTAATAACAATCATATTCAACATCATTCCACAATCACCTCAAGTAACCCATTCCATGAATCAAGGAGGCATGATATTAACATTTAATTATGTTAATCAGTCAACCAAATCACACATCAGTGCACAAAATTTAATAAAGGAATTCTACATAATTCCCTGCCTGGATTCCAAGTAATAACTTGATAATTCTAATTTATATTCACAAGGTCTATTGTGGGTAATTCCTATTCACTCGAATCCAGGGTTCTAGTCTAACTTATGGAAATGAGCAAGAGTAGGGATTCCAGACCACTCAACGGATTCTAAACCAGGATATGATTCCGAACCACTCAACGAAATCTAAACTAAATTATGATCGCCTATCGAAATGTACCAAGTACAACTAATTATCATTACCTCTAAAATGCGTATGGTCCCCCATCGCGGATATACTAAGCAGAACCATAGGCATAATCTTTTTGTGCAGGCAGTGATCACCCATCGCGGATATACCAAGCATGATCACCCCAACAGTCCCCCATCATAGATGTACCAAGCAGGACTGTATTCTATAACTCTAGGTAGTGATCACCCATCACAGATATACCAAGCATGATCACTCCTAGAATGCGTATGGTCCCCCATCGCAGATATACCAAGCAGGACCATAAGCATAGTCTAATCATGCAAGCGGTGATCACCCATCACGGATATACCAAGCACGATCACCCTTAAAGTACGTATGGTCCCTCATCGTGAATATACCAAGCAAGACCATCTAAGTACCACTGCTACCTGGTGCAATCAGTTCAGCACACTATCTACCTATACCTCAACCCCTATGAGTTACAACGTAGTTACCTACACCATCAACTTCTCATGGCCACCAACAAATATGTCACACCAGCCTATAAGTTCTACATCATACTTCTAATAAGATTCTTGGCTCACATTGTCATAAAAATAGTTATACACATCATTCACATTACTAAAAAGATAATTAAACCCACATATATCACAACCATCATCAGTACACAAGCCAAATCATGTTTAATAAACATAGGTCTATGGCTAAATATATAAAAATCATATTTCAATAGAAATCATATTTATAAAACCAATTCATATTCACAACGGATACTAATATAAGAAATTAAGGTAGTAACCCTATCCCCTATATTCAAGTCACTCTCTAACCAATGTGGGTCCACTAGACTTCACTTAGTCTTTGGTGGTACCAATTATAGTATCTAGAACGTTTCGAGATATGTTGACCAAAAGTCAACTCTCGGTCAACGGTAGGGTCCACAACTCTACATAATTCGATCCAAAAGATCCGCCCATCGGATTTCGGATTTGTAACTTCCTAAGGTCCTCATTATACTCATAGAATATCATACTAAAGTCTCACCACGATCCAATGGTCGGATCTTCGCCAATCACAATTTTGGTGGTGGCTAACGTTTTATTTTACAAACTTACAAATCCAATTCGGGAAGATCCGTATGTCGGATTCCCAATCCGTAAGTTCCTATGGCCCTCAAATATTTCGTACTATAATGTATTAAAGTTTGGTGATGATCCAACAGTCTGATCATCGATTCATATAATGTCTAAGTGGCGGTCTCCATCAAATCTATAGCCATACAACGAGATTTCGTCAATCAGACTTCACATATGGGGTATCAAATTTAGCCTAGGAAGGTTAGGGGTTACTTCGGCCCACACGCCGCCGCACACGGCGGTTGGCCGCCCCAACTCGCCTGAAAATTTAACTAATTCCAAAAATTACCAAATTTTACAAGCATGTAGATCTCAATGAGGGGAGGAATTTTCATACCTGTGGCTAAGGCCAACTCGGCCTGGAAACGCTTGAACCCTAGAATTGGGTGTGCTTCGATTCGAACTCCATACTTGCTCCGACATCTCCAAGGTCATTTGGGCTTTGTTCCTGGGTTCAATGAGAGTCTAATGGTGGTGGTAATTGGTTGAGTTACCTTCAAAATTGATGGATCGTCACCACGAACCCTGTCGCACCCACTGTGCGGGTTTCACAATTTCAAGTGCAAATTCTATCAATTTTGGAGTGGAATGGGTAGAGGGAAGGTCATGGAGTGATTCCCAGGTAGTGGCTCAGCTTAATTC